TTTTTTTTCGAAAAGAAAAAGAAAAAAAATAATACATAAAAAAATTTACTTTTTTTAAATTTTTATTATTATTACTTTTTTAAATAAAATAAAATAAAAATATAATATTTGGGCGGCTTTCTGGCTATTCCGTGGGCGACGGCGATGCTGCTGGTTGTCCTTCCTGCTCCGGCGTGGCCTCGGTTTGCTCTCTCTCTCTCTTTCTTTTCTCTCTGTGTCTCTCCCTGCTCTGTTTTCTCTCCAAAAATGGCCGACCGGGGCTGCTTCCGGGGGTTGCCGGTCGGCTTGCTGGTGATGACGAGGCCGGCTGGGACCTGCAAGACCCTCCGAGGCTCCTCTCTCTTCTCGGTTTCTCTCTGATTCTCTCCGGCCTCTCTCGGACTCTCTCTCCGTTTTTCTCCAAAAATGGCCGACCCACTCTCTCTCTCAAAACGGCCGACCCGGGCCTCTCTCTCTCTCTGGCTATTTATAGCTGGCGACGGACCCCCTCTGCTCCTCTGCATCGGCGTGACGACGGCCTGCACCGGCCTACGCCACCCCGCGACTTTCGTGGCCATGGCAGGCCGGTCCGTCGGCGTGCTCTCTCGGCCTTCCTCTGGCCAGATAGCGACGGTGAGGAGCGGCGCCACCGTGCGTCACGCTTCGGTCGCGCACAGGGGAGAACAGGGGAGGAGAGAGCGACCGGCGCAGGGGGAAGGAAGGAAGGAAGAAGGGTGGCGCCGCCCAACCAGTGAGAGGGGAAAAAAAGAAAAGAAAGGAAAGGGCGGGCCCGCAAGGAAAAAAAAAGAAAAGAAAAGGGGCCGGCCCGGGGAAAAGGAAAAAGAAATGGGCGGGTCGGCCGACTCACCCGGCCCGACTCGAATTTTTTTTTTTAATTAATCTTCTTTAATAGACCCTATTAATGCAAATGTGCCTAATTTCTATACGCAATGCATTTGAATAGAAATATTTTTTTGTTTTAGGAATTAAAGAAAATTAATTTCTAAATTTTGTGTAATTAATTTTGGGCAAATTAAAAATAGGTGTCAACAGCATGTAAGTATAATTTCAAATCTGGAACTTACATGATGCCAAATAGATCACACATGAGCGCATATATATATATGTAATACGTTGTTTCTCGTAAATTTTTAAGAAGACGATGAATGAAACATGCATAAATGGAAGGTAGCCTCCACCAAAATCGGTCACACCACAGTCCAGGAGAACAAAGAATCAAAAGGACAATTGTGTCAGCAAAAGACAATCATATATATTAAAAAATCAGAGAGAATGGATAGACTAGGGTTTCCAAAACCCAAAATTCAGTCCTTTTATGTGGAGGCGCTAGTGTCGAGCTGTAGGGATCGGTGTCTCAAACCCAATTGCCAAGCACGATTAGGGCCTTTGACACCCTAACCGAGGGCGGCGATTCATTTTCCGAAGTCCAAATCGCAACCGAGAGTTTGAGTTTTTGGCACTTGCATGTTCATAGAAGGTCGGAGATGGTTGCGCTCCACCACTCTTCTGACCGCAAGCTAGGGCCGCATCAGCCTTGCCAAGCAAACCAAAGCTGAAGAGACCGGACGGGGACCGGGGGTTGACTCTGGTATGAAACACCATCACCATTTTCTACCTTTGCTGAAAAGTATCGAGACCGTTTTGAACATTTTTTCCTATTACAAATCTCTAGTTAATGGCGAAATTGGTATCGTTGGCCCATGGAAGCAACAACATTCATAGATGATTTAGAGACAACGAGCCATTTTAATAAGTAGAGGAGCCATTTTCGAGATGATTTCTAGGCTATCTTTTGGCAACTCGAATTTGCTCAGGACTACTCCGATTGATAAATCCTTACTTTCCCTTGTTAAGTTCTCCATTCAGATTGATGACTTATTTTCGGCAAAAATACACCACAAGTGCATAACTTGTGTACGGCGATCACTTTGGTGCATAACTTTTTCGAATCACTTTGGTGCCAAGTCGGAGAAAAGAGATCACTTTAGTGCCAATTTACGGAAATCCGACGTGGCATTTTTATTAATTTTACGCCGACGTGGCTCGCCGGAGGCTGAGTCGCACGATCGTATTTTTAATTTTAAATAATTTTTTTAGCGTGTACAATCAGCATTTTTAATTTTAAATATTTTTTCTTTTTTTTCTTCTTTCCTTTTTCTTTTTTTCTTTTCTCCTCGCGGCCGGTTGCGTGGCCGGTCGGCCACCGGCGAAGCCCGGGAAGGGCTAGGCGAGGGCGGCCTTGCCCATGGCCGGCGAGGGCGGCCGACCTCGCCGGCAACAAAAGCGAGCCGGCCTCGCCGGCCCGGGCGGGAGCCTCCCTCGCGCCGCCCGGGTGAGGGTCGCCTCGCTCGACAGCCGCGAGGTCGCCCTCGCCGGATCCGCGAGGGCGACCACGGCTGGCCGGGCGAGGAAGCCCTCGCTGGGCGAGCGAGGGTCGCCCTCGCTGAGTCGGGCGTGGCGACCCTCGCCCGCCCGTGCGAGGGCTTCCCTACGCCGGCGTCAGGGTCGCCCAGCCGGATGCGAGAGGCGACCCTCGCCGGCGCCCGGCGAGGGTCGCCCACGCCCGACTCGGGCGAGGTCGCCCCTTGTCGGATCCGCCGGGCGAGGCGACCCTCGCCGGCGTCGGGCGGGGTCGCCACGCCCGACTCGAGCGGGCGACCCTCCTCGGCCGGCGCCGGGCGAGGGCGACCCTCGCCGGCGTCGGCGAGGAAGCCTCGCACGGGCGAGCGAGGTCGCCCTCGCTGAGTCGGCGTGGGGCGACCCTCGCCGACAGCCGGCGAGGTGCTTCCTCGCCCGGCACGCCGAGGGCTTCCTCGCTCGCCGACGCGGCGAGGGGCGACCCTCGCCGCGTCGGGCGGGCGCCTCTGGGCCGGCCTCGCCTGTCGCCGGCGAGGTTGGCGCCCTCGCCGGCCATGGGCAAGGCCGCCCTCGCCCAGGCCTTCTTCCCGGCTTCGCGGTGGTCGGCCGGCCACCAAGGCGACCGCCCGGCGATGGGAGAAAAGAAAAAAAAAGAAAAGAAAAAGGAAAGAAGAAAAAAAAAAAAGGAAAAAAATATTTAAAATTAAAAATGCTGATGTACACACCTTTGAAAAAAATTATTTAAAATAAAAAATGCTGACTATACACGCCGACTCAGTTCCCTCCGGCGAGCACGTCGGCGTCAAAATTAATAAAAATGCCACGTCGAATTTCCGGCCAAATTGGCACTAAAGTGATTTCTTTCCTCCAACTTGGCACCAAAGTGATCCGAAAAAAAGCTATGGCACCAAAGTGATCGCCGTACACAAGTTATGGCACTTGTGGTGTACTTTTGCCACTTATTTTCTCATGTTGTTCCATGATGGAAATAGCCAGGTATGATAAGTGTAAAGAAACACACGACTTCTAATTTTAGTTTTCGACTTTCATTTTTTTTCTTTTAACATTGAGGTTTGACTTTTATTTAGTACTATAGAACTAATACATTCGAAGATATACGCAAATACCAGCATTTAATTAGTTTAGTCATGTGATTTTATTTGCCCCGGTTTTTTTTGGAAATTTGAAATCCTTCCTTTTTTTTGTGTGTTTTGGAACACCCTCGGGCAGGCCGACGTTGAGAACAGCGTTCCCTTTTTGTCTCGAAGGCCCATTTTCCTTTCGATAATCATCACAAGTGGCTACTTGCAGCTAGTAACATCGAAATGTCATTTTTCTCGCTACAAAGATTCAACTGTCTTTGACTGTGGTGATCCAATCTTTTGATGAACGCTTGGTACTTCCGTTTGTCTCGTGCTAGGCGTAGAGATCACTTATTTTCCTGGCCAAATAGAGATTATATTCATAGTCAAATGAGTAAGTACATTATAAAAACAGAGACAAAGTGATGGGTGATAAAGACCCAGAAACATATAGGAAAACATACGGCCATGGATGCCCGAAGCAAACTAACATGAGCTAAGCCCTATCTTTCGTTTTTTTTTTCTTTTTAACTCGCTTCGCTCATTGACGGTCCTCCTCAATATATTCTCTTGATCCCGATGACGTCCCATCCATCGCCCCACCGCAACACCTGCCCGTGTCGGACTTGGATCCACAACTCTTATCGGATGTCGACCGGGTTATTGAATATGATTCTGATGCGGATCCTTCCCTAGATCCAACTTGATGTTTGCGTTTGAATCCCTTTATTTTGGGCCTCGGATTTTCACATTGGCTCACCATGTTCACTCTCCTTGTGCACAACGCTACATTTCAGATGATGAGCTTATAAGTGCAACTCTTTTTATTTTGTAGATGATCCAATGGTACAAATGCAGAGGCTTAACTACCCGAAGGCTCGGGGAATACTTTGAAAGGGAACCGATTAAGTCTAGATCTTTTGGCCTATATGGGTGGGTGTAGTACAAAACAATTTGCATACTGTTAGGATGCGATTCGAATAGATGAACTTTACTTTTTGAGCTGGAAATTCTCTGGGATCCCAACTGACAACATCTACACGAGGGTTAGTTTTTTTTTTATTTGGCCCAATTGTCTGGTTTAAATAACAGTCAATGAAACTAAAAGTGTCTTTTCAAGCCAAGGCAATATTCAAGAGTGACCTATCTTGGAAAAATGAACGCTACATCACAAATTATCAAGGATTCCTATCGAAAAAATTAGTGGGAATTATAATCATGAATGGAATTGCAACTATATATATATTCAAACAGTTGGTGCGAGTTTCCTTTTGCAACCATCATGAGTTATTATTATCTATCTTGGATTATGCTTAGGAAGTCACAAGCTCGTTAAATAATGATTTGGTGAAATGTCACTCCGAGTTAGCTATGACATTCTTTTCGAAGCGAAAAAGATAATGAGTCATGATTTTTCCAAACTCCAGGAGGGCAAACACATTGCATATATCACTGGCCACAATTCAATTTAAATGCGACTTTGTATAACATGCCCTAGTGCTTATGCACGCACAAAATTGCACACATTTGTAACTTAAATGATTACAATAGCAAAGAGTCTTGTCTCTACCGATTATTCTTCTAGTTTTATATTTAATTTATCTTTGCTAATACATCAAAACAATCCTTATAGAATCCCAAAACTGAAGGGGAGAAATACAAAAGGAGAAAAAAGAACTAGCACAGCTCACTCCATTCCAAAGCACTTGATGACTTGGAAAGTCTTTTTAGGTTAATTCACACAAAAATAAAGACCAAGAAACAAACACAAAAATCACAAGACGAATAATAGGAAGCAATCGATGCACAATTGCATGAATAAAAGAGATAAAGATGAAGTGAAGCCAATCCAACTAGGTCTTAGAAGGGTGGCCCCCAAGCTCACAGAAGTTTCAGATCTTAATAAAGCTCCAAACCTCAATTTATGATTTGATCCATATAATGCTTGAACTCCCTCTATGTCATCAATGTTCAAATCCACCCTCTTCTCTCTGGGCTTCAAACTTGGATACATCACAGCATCCTTGACCGAGCTATGAGCTAGCCCTAGCAAATGGCCAATTTCGTGCACCGCGACCGATTCTAGATCAACCGCCACCTTGGATTCCTCGGAGATGAAGTCCACTGCCCACCTCTCCGCCGCGTCGAGGTGTAGCTTCCCACTCTCTGGCGAGAACGAATGGGCCAAAATCCCGAGCACCCCATCGAACGGCTGACCATCTCCGTGATCACCGCTATAAAACCCTATTTTGATGTCCGCGAAGCCATAATCATTTGCTTCCCTAAAACTCACCGGAGTGACAGCTGCCCACCGTGCGAAGGCACGTTTAAAAACATGACGGACATCGTTTGAGGTTAAATAGTCGATGAAATGGTTGGGGGAGAAAGCGTAGGTGAGGACGATGGGCTTGTGACGGGTCCACCTAGGTTTTCCGGGAAACAGTACATAGCGTCTAGTCACATGCTTACCATGGGTGAAGTCAGAGACACCGCACCTGGGCTCAAGGATTTGATTCATTGTGTTGATATCGAGCTTGCCCGTGATTGAGAGGCCGAGTTTTGATTGATATCTTATGATGGCTAGTTGAAACTCCAAATCGAACTGGTCGTCGAAACTAGGGTTTTGGAGCGGGAGATAACCGAAGTAATGGAAATATCTCTTGATCTTCGCGACGCCGCATGTATTCAAGCCTCTATCGACATCCCTCTCAGTATCTAGCCCTTTGAAGTTGTTGTCATTTCTCTCAACAGAATTTAGCCACGGAATGTTTGGAGTGAATGAGTAGGTCATTTTGATGGAGATACATAGTGGGAGAGAGATGAGAAAGAGGAGGGAGGACTGAGAATTGAATGTCACGAACATGGTAGTTCTCGGTCATGAGGAGTTGGAGAAAATGGTTTATTATAAAGAATGAGTGTACAAGCTTATGCTTTGGTTGATTTGAAATATGAAAACTGCAAAAAGTGGGAAGATCATAATTCATCGTTATTAGTTAGAAATGTTCCTCTGATGAACACCATCTATTAACCTGGCGCTCAATCATTACAACTTCTCTAGGTCGAGCGAGAGAAACTTGTCGTTGGGAATATGTCACTTTCATCGGATGCAGGTTAACGAACTCACTCTGGCCTTTTCTGATTTCGTTTTCACTTGAAGTTTAGAGAAGGCCCACTCTGAATTACCAAGTCAGTACCGATCGTTAGGCTTCATGATTCCTTTTAGACGTAAGGATGACTCAAGCGAAAAACCTTCGTGAATGCGTCGTCAACTTCAGAAGAGTCATGAACTACTGACTGACTTTGCTTTTGCGTGGGACTTGCAAGAGACTCAAAGCTTATGCACAGTGTGATGGATGCACACCACCTATCTCCTCCTCGTCTTGTGCGGCAATAGGGGTAATCGGATCCAGGCTATCCGGTTCCCACCCAAGAATAGAGAACCGGATCAGAGGGATGGGTTCCCAGTTTCTGGAACCGGTATCAGGTCCGGTTCCTAGGTGGACCAATAGAACTGATGGCATATTCAATTTTTTTTTAATGTTCTTGATAATCAAGATGTTTCTACAATCAGTAAATTACGTATAATATTGTAGGTTTCACAACATAAATTTCAATTTGTGGCAAAATTCGATTGGAATGAGCAACTACTATTGTGTTTTGATTTATTATTGTCATCGTACTCACGATGCATAAGTGAACGTAATTACTCTAGCCTTAAAGAGCCTTTCTTTGTGAAATGGGAGATAGATTATGGTTTTTATTACGGATTTTAAGAAATAAAAATTTAGAAAAAACAAATCGGTCCGATCCAGGTGATCGGGTGGGCAGTTCTACACCTGGAATTGGGAACCGAACCGAAATTCATTAGTTCCAATTTTATGGAACCGGAAACCGGACCAATGCTCTCTGAAATTGCCCAAAACCGGCCGATCCGGGCTATTCATTTTGCTCACCCCTATGCAGCAGTACGTGAAATCTCGATATTGTTATAAATCTACATGTCAATGTTCATATGACAGTAAGGTTCAAACTACAAATTTTCATTAATGGGTAATAGTATTTTTTTTATCTATAATATAGAGAAACGATGAACAGGTATGACTATGCCTCTGAATATTCAATATTATACATGTCATTTCATGAATTTCCATTTTGTGACCATAGTTACTTCCTGTTCATCTTTTTATTAGTATGTACATTGCCAGTGAATTTTCAAGAATAAGTATGTAAACGAATATTTTTATATGAAGAAATGAAAAAGGAACTTTGTATTCACCCTAAAACTTTCAAATATTGTACGACTCCTAAACTTTCGATAGAAATATACTTTTCTTCTGCCCTGGCCGTTGTCCTATCGCCGATAACCCGCTCCATTTTCACCGAACCAAACACAATCTCAACAAATATGCAAGAGAAATCATTAATTAGCGATGCCTCGATACTCTTAAAGCATATTCCTCGAGACTAGGAAGCATGGGTTTCAAATATGGTAAATTTACACAAAAATTGATTGGACTAGTCAAGATGCGGAGCTAGGCCGAACATCACCTGAACGCTAAATTGAAAAAAAAAAAGTAACACCAATACCCGTCAAACTTCATTAGTGTTATATATGTATATACTCCTTTGTTGAATCTTTAAATATCATTCCATGAACTTCTATTTTGTGATCACAGTTACCTCCCGTTCACCATTCTACTAACATTTACATTGCAAGTGAACTTTCAATTATAAGAATGTGAAGAATTTTCTAAAATGAAGAAAATAAAAAAGAACTTCCTACTACGCGTTCACCCTCGAATTTCAAACAATATACAACCAAGAAAATGTGGATGGAGAATGCCGTTGTCGAGTCAGCAAATAAGCCACTCCATTTCACCAAGCCAAAACACAAACTCACCGAGTCTTTTATCCTACAGAAATGCTAGATTAAGTCCGGTTTACAAAATTGATGTGTCAGACTGTTAATTATCAAATGCAAGAAAGAAACGATTAATTAGCAGTTCATCTATTCTTGGAAAAGCAAATCCTTACACTTAGAAATGGGTAAAAAAAAAGGAAGACTAATGCTCCAATCAACATAACCAACAACTCCCAAAGCCAGTTGCTCTTGAAGTTTCATTATTGGGGTCATTGCAGCATGAATCAAAACGAGATTTATTGTGCTTTGCCTGAAGGCTCAGCCCAATTCCTGTTGGGCTCCACCATAGATGATGGGCCAAGTATTAAAAATCTACAAACCTTTCTATTTCCTAAGGTGCAAATCGGATCGTTATTCTCGAGGATTTGGCCAAAAAAATCCTAGGAGGAAAATGATGTCGTTATTAACGATTAACGATATATATGATATATTACATATTTTAGGTATTGACGTAGAGCAGATCGTGTCCCATCATGGAACAATATATGCATAAATCATGCCTGTGAGCCTAATACATGCACGTACTTTGATCTCAAGATGAAGGTTCTTATGCATTGGGCTCACATGAATCAAATGCATATAATAATTTTTTTCTCATGATCGGTGAACCCATTATGTCGTCATGCAAAGTCACATTCATCACAAAGATTGATCCATCTGAATGAGGTTTGTTACGAAATTTGTGACTAAATAAATTAAATATTGATATTCATTAGAAAACGAATGAAGATAGTGCATAGAATGGGGGATCTTCAGCCTCTATCATCCACTCTTACATACTTGGAGAAAGTAGATGATAGCCCCTTTAACATAGGAATAGAAAATACAATATGGATACCTCTCAACACAGAGATGGCAACTTTACCCACTTAGACTCCGTTTGTTTCGAAAGTGAATGATTTGAAAAATAATTTTTCAAAAATAATTTTTTATATCAATTATAAAAATGAATAAATAAAAAATATATTCATCATCCATGAATATATTTAGACATAATTTAATATCGGTAATGAAAATATTTTTATTGGCTAATTATCTTAAGCGTTACAAGTGGTCATTTTTAAAAAAATATTTTTCGGATCATTTATTTTTCGTGAAACAAACGAATCTAAAATTGCATTGCCTGACCTTCAAGGTGAAATATGCCATCATGCACACAATGAGAGGCAGGTGTCGATCGATCGACGATCACCCTTATCCCGCAAATTATTCGGGCCACGGTCTGCAGACGATTTGCAATGAAAGCCGATAAAATTTGTGTAACTAACGTGGAACCACATGGTCCTCGGATGGATCATGGCTCTAATTCATCGATTTATGTGGATATGGTTCAAGCATGGCTAGCCCCTCGATCTATCCCGTCTTGCATAATAACTCTATTAGCATATTGAAGCGTAATGTTTATATCAGCGGTCCTATAAAAAGATAGTTATGACATCTTTACCAACTACTATTCGAGGCAGTGTGTATTGACACCTAAATTTTGACGACTCGTTTTATCTTTTATTACATTAAAAAATTATGAATTGAACCCGGCCTCTAAATAAAAAGTTCATTTAAGTTACATTTTAATAACATATAGATAAACTAATCAATTGATATTAATTGGACTGGCGATGAATTGACTTAATTAAAGGTTATGAACTTAATTGAATTATATGGAAAAATTATCCAAAAAGTTATAAATCTATTGTACGACGACCAATTCAGTTGTAAACTTTTCAATTTTGTCAATTCAGTTCTAAACCTTTTGAAAACTAATCAATTTAGTTCTAAACCTTTTTGACGATTTGCCAATTTAGTCCTAAACATTTTAAAGATTTTCAATGTAGTCCTTCTAGCTAATTTTGATCGGAAATCACTAACGTGGCGGTCCAATCAGCACTGGCCGTCCTACGTGGCGCAACCGGAACTAACGTGGATATGTTTTATTTTTTAAAAAAAATTTGAAATTTTTTATTCTTTTCTTTTCTTTTCTTCTTCATTGAGCAAGCAAGGCCGCTGGCCCCTGGGCAAGGGCTGCAAATCCCTCGCCGGCCGTGGGTGAGGGCCGCGATGCCTGCACTATTGCAACCTTCGCCCACAACCGGCAAGGGCTTCGCCACCCTCGCTCAAGGGCCGACAGGTGTCATTGGCCCTCGCCTAGGAGCCGATGGAGGTCGCCGACCCTTGGCCAGTGGTTGGTGGCCTTGCTGGCTCAATGAAGAAACGATCCCTCACCTAGATCAATGGAATGTAGCGGTAAATGATAATCATTAAGGGTGATGATTTATTACAATCGTTCAATAAAGAATATAGGTAGAACCTAGGTAGACCTTGGAACTTGTGACAAGGTGGATTTCAGGTTCCAAGTTCCAGAGTATGGCGTTTGATAATGAATGTATAATTTGGAGTCACTAGTCTGAATTTTCATTTTCAATGTATATGTTATTGAAACTTTTTACTTTGTTAATGTTTCATATTATTCATGTGTCTAGATCAATGGAATGTAGCAGTAAATGATAATTGAAGATGATTTATTATAATTATTCAATAAAGAATATAGGTGAAACCTAGATAGACCATGAAACTTGTGGCATGGTAGGTTCCAGCTTCCAGAGAATGCAAGGTAGATTCAAAGTTCAAAAAATTTGGGAACCGGTTCCTAAATGTAGGTTCAAGGTGGAACCTGGACCGACCTTGAAACCACTCACCCCTAGTTATTGGGTGTGATTGAAGGCTAGAAAACACTAAGAATGTTTAAGTTACTTGAATATGGCTATAATCTCCATTGTATTGTTTGATTTATAGATGAATCATTTATTATTCTTCCTGTAGACATACATCATACTAATCGAGCCATTTAAATTTTTTGTTCAATTTATTTTATTATTCTATAAATTAATTATTCGATCGCTTGTTTCTGTAACGGTAATAACTTGGGTGAGAAATCGCAAGTGCCCATAAAGGTCGAGAAGGAGAGAAGCGAACTTTTGTCACAAACAAACAAACTTTCCTCACCTTGCCTTGAGGAGTGCCACCCCCGCTTTGGGCATGCCGCATTGCTGT